ATCAACTATTTTTATTCATAGAATATATTTTACAGATTAATATATATTCATAAGATTGTAAATATTTAAGAATTAAAAAAATGCATTTAGGGGTCCCTGTCTTTTTATAGGTACCTATTTGATTAAACAACACATAGGTATTATTCAACAATTAATTTTCATTCAAAAATAATTAATGTTCCAAATAAAAAATTAAGATAAAACGAGGATTTTTACACAAAACCAAGTTTTTGTGCAGCTAATAACCAATGTGGCAATACCGTGAATATTTGAAATTTTCATCTGACGTTTTAATTTTTGTATTACCATTTTCTATACAACAATACATTTTCAAAATATTTTGACTATTTTTGATTTTTTGGGGAGTAAAAATTGCTGTTATTCATTCTACGTGTTCGAGATTATAGTATAGTGAAAGATGGTCACGGATATATTCGAACAATTATTAATAAATTGATATATTATTGATTGGTTTGTCTATTGTAACATACCTATTCTAATCTAAACAATCAGCCTCAGGTAGCGTAGCCCGGCAGTGGGGATGGGGGCGATAGCTTTATTGCAGTGGCTTACAAATCTAGAACAATAACTATTACGGTGTAAGCGAATTTGTGCGAAAATCGTAATACTATTTAGGTTGATTTGAGTGGGTGATTTTTTTTTAACGAAGCTGAGTTACGCACACCAAGAGTGACATATTATTATTTAATATTTAATTAATAAAAAAGGTGGGTAAGTGGATGTTGCACCGCTGTACAGTGGGTTACAATTAACTATATATATATATATATATATATATATAATAAAATACTACTTTGTACTACGTTGAACATTTTCGCTGCAGAAAAATGTATTTTTCTAAAGAATTGTTGGCAGGGATTTCACTTGCTTGTATTGGTGTAGCCGGAATGGCGTATTTATTTTCTAGACGAAACGATCCAACTTCAGATGATTGTGCAGAACAGAAAAATATGAAAGAAGATTTGGAGGTAAACAAAATATAGTACATAGGTGTTATGTGGGTATATATTATAATGCAATAGCTCGGCGTATCTTACTTGCTTAGCGTAGCCAGGTTAGAGAGAAGCTAGTAGAACGGATATATGAGGGTGATTAAATCCAGTGGCGAGGCGTAAGTTTTAGGTTGGGGAGACATTGAACAAAAAATGGCTGTAATAAGTTGACGTCGATAATTGGGGACTGAGGTAATACGAACAGCGTCTCATAGCGCATGCCGCATATAGACTACAGTAAACCCAGCACACATTAAAATTCTCCTTGTACCCTCGAGCCCATAATTTGGGGACGTCTCTTTGACATAATACCATATTTTTAATGACCCAAATTGACAGCTCGTACGCTCGATCGACCGCTTTTAATCTATTTCAAGAACTCTATACCTGTACAACAAAAACCGATTTTAACAAAATATATTAAAACATACATCATGTTTATATAGTATAAATGACGTTAGAATTTGTAAATATATTATGATAAAACAAAATTGTTTTTTCCGTGATTTATAAGTGGGGAGACGTTGCCTCATTGTCTCCTATAATATGACGCTTCGCCACTGATTACATCTGTACCTATTATAATATGATTCAGTATTAAATAAAAAAATATATAATATATTATAATATACTTATATTTTGTTCAAATAGTACCTACTTACCGTATTTTATAATTTGATGAAAGAGTTTCAAAAATACAAGATGGTTCAGTAAGGCAATTAAAATAATTGTAAATAAAAATCGAGGGGACCCAAACACATTTAGTGAATGATAGATCATTATTTCACTTAATGTTTTCGGAAACTTACTAGGGCTATTATAGGTATATTTTGTTTTGTGAAAGTCATTATTCACTGGTAACACATAGGTAGGTAAATATATTTACAATTTACCACAAGTCCATATTTACACTTATGAGTTTGTAAATTTAAGTATTAGTAACAGTTGAAATTCACTAACTTTTAACCTATTGTACATTTAACTATTAATCTGTAAGTTGTAACTAATATGAAATAATTACAAGTCACATTATATTATACTGGTAAATTTCAACCCATATTAATAGTTCAATTTACATATCATAAATATAAGTAAATTTCAACTGTGACCCACTGATAATTGTATACTCATCAAACGTGGTAGAAAGGGCGTTCAGAGACATGCAAGTATGAAACGAATAACGACTATAGAACAATCTAACGTACAGGGATCATAATATCGCGGTAGGTACCTGATAAACGGTTTTTATTTAATTTTCAGCATAATTTTGAATTGTGCAAAATACGTGACATGGCGTTGGAGCACCAAATGGCTGACTCGATTTATGCGATCCAGACATCCGTAAAAGAGCAGCTATCCGAAGTGAAAACAAAATTAAAGCATTTGAACGAAACAGTTGCAGGCTTGCTGCGAACCGCAGAGACCATTACGACGGATTCTCGAAAGTAAATATTGCAAAATATTATTATCAGTTGATTAGATAATAAATTAGTAATGTTGTGTGCGGGTGTAGGAGAAGTAACGAAAATCAAGATATACCAGTGTCGCCAGTTTCGGGAGCTGACATCGGTGGAACTGGAGTCGGGCGAGGGTGCCGCCTCCGCCGTGATGTCGGCTGCTGCAGAGGACCGCTCCGAGCTAACTCTCAAATTACCGAACGCACAAAGCCGCCAACCCTCCCCGTCGCCTACACCGACAGGACGGCCACCTGTTCCGATGCTTCCCGCTCCGCCACCCTCGTAGACCTCTGCAGCTTTTCGGCCACAGCCGCCGTCACCATGGAATATTGGCGTTCCGCAATGAGATTGCGAAGAGCTTCAGTTACCTATATTTGTAAGATTATTGTGAATTTTGTATAATTATTGTGTGTGTATATTTTGTAAAATTATTGTATATTTTTTATAATTACTGTACGTGCATATTTTTTATAGCTTTTATTGTATTTGTGTGCATAAAATAAATCTGTTAACTAAAATGTACCCGACATGTTTGTTTTATAAGGTTTTCAAATTACAGTTACAATATTATTATGAGTTATTAAAGTTTCACTATAACTATAGTCATTTTTTTAATCCTGAAAAACTAAATTCATAATAGGCATTGTTAACCGTATGTAATCTAATTAAACATTTTATAATATGTATGACTTGTATAATTCTAAATTTATTAACTCTGTACTTCTGGTTATGGGTGTACACTGTACATAAATGATAATGATATTATTAAATTACAATTTACAAATAAAATCGATTTATTTCATAGTGGGTACCTATAAAATATAATATATTTTAACAGTTAATATTATGATTTATAATATTCGACACACAATTTCTTAAGATATACTATATATTGCATTAAGGTAGTTCGTAATAGTTCGTATAGCCGTATAGGTAAGTATATTAATTTCCATTATAACTTGTAACAAAGAGACGTGTCTAATCATCAATTTTACTCGTCACTATTCACCTGAATTACGAAGATAATATAATATTATAGAATTATAGCGCTTATTACGGCGTAACTAACTACTGATGAGCCATAGCCCATATTCCAAAACCAAATCGTATAATATAGGTATATCGCAATATGAGACTGTTCTTAGTAAGTTATTCAATGAAGGGTTAAATTATTATATTTTATACAGGGTAAACATTACAAGAATGATTTTAATAATTCTGAACCGCGTTGTATATACGTATTAATATATTATGTTAAAACCAACACGTACATTACTCCACAGTCCACTCAGAATAAAAAAACAACAATACACACATTATATTGGTTGTAATTTATTTATTTTAAAATTTTTTTTTGGATAATCTTAAGTAAGTGTGTATCTATAAATTACCATTTATTTTACTGGATAGTGGCCACGTGTTAGATATAAGTATATAACCAAAATGTATCTTTACTGTGGGTGTCAACTAAACATCTATACTTAACTATGTGCCCATTTGGACAATGAAAATCTTGTTAAAAAATGGATCTCCCTGAGATTGTGATTATATATCAGTGGCGGATACGAGGGGGGGGGGAAGGGGCGTTCGCCCCCCTTGGGCTGCCTTTTTAACGTTATTTTCTATTATAATATTTGGCTTAACAAAAAGACAATTTATTTTTGAAAATTCACCATCCCACTTTGGTGACTTCTGGATCCGCTAGGTACTGATATTGTTATGCCTTACTTGCCTCCTTGACAGTTTATCAGGAGCCGAAGTAAGGGAGATTATTGAGGCACTTACAATCGGAATTAGGGACGCTGAACTCGATATCTAGACAATTTATTAAATGCTTTTGAATGCTTATTTGTGGGCCGAGACGGTTGATTCGGCTTTGTATTCGAGCCCTTGACAGTTAACACTGTATGGCCGACATTTGGTGGTATATCTTGGTATTACCATAAGTAAAAACTGATTGTACCAAGGATAAATAAATAATTTTTTTGTATGAGTAATTAAAAATATATTTGACTTCTTTAAAAATGAAAAAGAACTTACTTAAAATATTGTTTAAATAATTGATATGACTATCCCATTTTAATCTATTATCTAGAATAAGGTATAACACATTGTGATTTACGTGTATTGCTAAAAGCTGAGACACATTTTAATGAACGGACTATTAAGTTAGTGCAGAACATTACAATAAATTGTTCTGTACACCTTATACCAAAAAAAACATTGTTGTCTGTTAGAGTTACCTTATACTCATCATCATATTATTTCAACCAGCTTCCTATTCATCACATTTTAAATACAGTCCACTTTTATCCCCTCCCACAGGGCTATCAACCTAGGACGTAAGTATCGTCACACAGGACGGGTTGCGTATTGGCCGCCGTCCACACGCACACTCGTCACCGGCTTTACGTGTGCAGCCGTCAACCGCACATTGTTTGGTTATTCGATCCGGATCTTTCTGTGCGACTACTTCGTCACAATCATACGTCAATTTTGTAATTTCACCTGATCTCGTATTTCTGTCGTCATGGCACCGAAAAAAGAAGAAACTGCTGAAAACGCTCTCGCTCGAGCACGTGTCAAACGCGACAACGTTTTAAACTCCATCAAAGGTATTCACGTCACAGCTTTAGCCGCACGTTCTGATGCCAATCGAGTGCCGTCGTTAATTATTCACGCCGAAGATTTAAATCAATATGTCGAACAATTTCAACGTCAACAAGACGTTATAATTAACGCGTTATTCGATCTTGACCGTGTGGCCGAGTTTGATCAGGATGATCGTCCAATGATCGCATCTATGGAGACTATGCGTCTCGAAATTAAAACTGTCGTCGCGAGTGTGTCCGAAATAAAATCGTCGTCTTCGTCGTCCATCACGTCCGCGCCTCAATAATTCGTTCCGTTACCAAAAATTCAGCTGCCCAGCTTCGACGGTAATCTATTGGAGTGGCGATCGTTCCGCGATATTTACGTTTCTCTCGTACATGACAACACCGGCATTGGCGATGCCAAACGGTTTCACTATCTAATGTCGTGTTTATCGGGTGACGCTCTCGCTGTTGTCAAATCAATTCCGTTATCCGCGAATAATCCTCGCTTGGAAAGCATTGTCCGTTCGGTTTGATAATAAGCGCCTGCTAGCGTCGGCACACTTAGATAAGTTATTTGCATTCAAACCTATTGACTATTGCACATCAGTCGCTACCAGCCTTGACGTCGTTTATCAACACGTTCAAGGAAAATGTAGCCATAATTAAAGCGCTCGGTGTCAACGACCTGTCAAGTTTTTTATTATTTCACATGGGATCCCGAGTTCTCGATCCGACGACGATTCAATTATTCGAATCCAATGCGTCGAATTCGACAATTCCGACGTTCGACGAGTTACTCAGTTTTGTACAACAACGCTGTCGAGTATTAGAGAACATAAAAAATTCCAGTAAATCTGATATTCCAACGAAACCACACGAAAAATATAATACGCGTAATAAAACTGTTATATCGAAAAAATCAGTGTTTGCCGCCACCACATCTACATCGGTCAAGTCTAAGTCACGAGGTTGTTTGTCATGCGATAAGGCTGACCATAGTATTTACCGTTGTCCAAAGTTCAACGATATGACAGTCGAAAAGCGCCGCGAATTCGTAGCGGCTAGAAAATTATGTTTTTCATGTATGAGTCAGTCTCATATGCTCAACGCGTGTTCATCAATAGGGGTGTGCCGCTCGTGCAGTAGTAAGCGTCACCACTCCTTGCTACATCTTAATACCGATCAGTCATCGGCCGTGAACAAAACTAATCAGAGTACCAGCTCAGGTCCTGGTTCAGGTCCTTCCGCCGACAAGTCAAGTTCTTTTTCAGGTGCAGCATGCACCAACTCCACGGTCGTCCTCGGTACGGCCATAGTTCACATCAAGGACGCCTGCGACCAAATTCATCCCGTTCGAGTACTTCTCGACAGTGGGTCTCAAATTTCGGCCATCTCAAGCGATTGCTTCGCTCGATTAGGACTATCGAAACGCCGTTTTAAATCCGACGTCCAGTGAACCACGTGCAAGGTGTCACCAGGTGTCAATTTTCGTCACGTTTTAAATCTGATTTGTTCCCGTCTGTTGAACTAGTTATTCTAAAACAAATTACCGGCGTCATGCCATCCACACGGTTGCCGACAACCGTGCGTCAACACTATCGACACCTCCGTTTCGTGGACGAGAACTTCGACATTCCGTCGTGCATCGACGTTTTATTCGGCGCAGATATTTTACCTAGTCTTATCCGCTCTCACGCGGGTGTGGAGCCCCATTCGGGTTTACCATCAGCCCTCGACACCCAGCTCGGATGGATAATTTTTGGTTCGTTTTCTACTCCGAGCAAGTCACCCCCAGTCACGCTGACCACCGCGATCGCTCCGCCGTCAATCGGAGATCTATTACAATAATTTTGGTTGGTCGAAGAACCCACCGCACCTACGTCACCCACCACGGAAGATCAGTGGTGTGAAGAATATTTTACCAAATCTACTTCGCGGGATTCCACCGGTCGATTTTGTGTCGCTCTACCATTTCGCCACTTGTTCGCGAACACAGTTCAACAACAAGACACACCGCGTCACGGTCTCGGCGACTCGCGCTCCATCGCGTTGAAACGGTTTTATAACCTAGAAAAACGGTTGGCTAAGGACTCCGAATTGTATGCTGCTTATCGTAAATTCATGTCCACCTATCAAACACTAGGACACATGGTACATATAGTTTATGCTTTTAAACCAATATAGTAAAGGTACTACTCATGGTGTATAACCTATTCTAACTAACTTCCATAATATAGGTACTCTTAAGTCTTAATGCATACTATAGTATGTACCTACATATAAATAGACACTTGGGTTAAAATTAATATAGTATGTCCTAAATGATATGATAACTTCTCTATTTATTTCATATTGTATACCTATACACTAAACAGTAAGTATACGTATAATATATTATATTATATTATTGAAAAATCAGCACAAGTATGAATTGTCGAAGTTATAACTTGTATTGCCTTTTTAATAACTCAAGCGTTAAATACGTGATATTAAAATGTAAATATAAAAAAATCCATAAATATATTTTAAAACGCAAGACGTATAGATAACTATGCAGTATGCATAGGTACATATAAAATATAAAAAACAAAAATATTTATAAAATGCATAATTCATTTATGGTGGTTCTGGGGTAACGTTACCCTGGCACCCCATCTGGAAAATTGATTTTTCCTAGGGGAAGTATTTAGGTATAAATTCTTAAATTGTTGGTACAAATTGGTACACATTGGTACAAATTATAGTACAATTAATGGTTAAAAAAAATATTAAAAATTCGAACATTGGGGTGCCAGGGTTACCCACCTGTAAAAGAGGCTTGAAAATTTAATATAAGACTCTGAATAATATATTGTTACAATGAAATTTGTAAAATATTAAAAATCCAGTCACAGTTTTTGTTATTATAAGCATTCAAATTGCAACAGTTGATACATTGATCGATATCAGGATTTAGATGATCTATAATACTTGGACGATCATGAAATTGTAAACTGCATTTTGCGCAATTATACATTTCATCATTTTTATATTCTTTTTCAATTCCAATTTCCATTTCGTGTTCAGTGGGATTGGGATTGTTACAATTTTCTATTGGATCGGTAGCATGAGCCATTTCAATTTCAGTTTCGCTGTCAAACACACAATCATTAAATACTGTTTCATCTTGTTCAGTTTCAATTATTGTATTGGATTCGTTATTAACTACAACAGTCCTGGAAATAAAATAATTTTAACAAATAAACTATATGATCAAATAATAAAAAAAGTTAATTGTAAATAACGAAAAAAAATTAAATTATCATTGTGCATACCATAAATTACTATTACAATCACCAACATCATTGCACTCTTGAGTAAATTTAACATTTACACGTAAAAAAAATCCCATCTTGTTTAACTATAATATTGAAATGTTTTCTCTCACTAGAGTAAATGTAATCAAAGATCTTGGTATTTATTTTGAAAGTGATCTTTCTTTTAAAACGAACCATACAATGATAATTAATAAATCGTTTAAGATGTTAGGCTTTATTAATAGAAATACTAAAGATTTCAAAAATCCGTTATGCTTAAAAACCTTGTATACATCTTTAGTTAGATCCAATCTTGATTTCGGCTACGTAATCTGGTCATGCAAATACTTGACATATATAAATGATTTAGACAATGTACAATATAAATTTTTAAAAAGGATTTCATACTTATCGAATATTCCATTATCTAGGGACTCTCTCCATCTAACTCAAGATTATATTGGCCTTGTTTCTCTTTCACTTAGACGGAAATTAACTGATATTATGTTTGTCTATGATCTTATTAATTACAATATCATGTGTCCCGAATTGTTGTCTGAAATCAGTTTTCGAATTCCACATCTAATTACACGTAGTTCAGATTTATTTTTAGTTCCTCATTATAAAACGAATAGTGGTACCAATTCTTTTTTCTCTCGAGCTTTAATTTTAGCTAATAAAATTTGTATACATTTAGATATATTTTTTCTCTCACGCAATTGTTTTAAATCCAAATCTATGTTATTATTAAAAAATATTGATTGATTAATATAAAAAAAAAAAAAAATGTTTATAATGTAATTATAATTTTATATTTTTATTACTTTTAATTCAGAATTAATTTTATATTATTTTTATCTGTATTTGTTAGGTGTTACTACACTTACTTAGTTTTTAGTTTTTATCTAATATGTTTCCTTTATATAATTTGTAAAAGGGTATATACCCGTTGATATACAACATAAATAAATAAATAAATAAATAAATTGATTTTCAAGCAATTTTATATTATTGTCTTTATGAGATACCATCAAATGTGTTTTGAGACCATTCAATTCAAAAAACTGCTCACCGCAAGTCATACAATTAAACTTCTTGATATTTGCATGAAGTGATTTGTGAACTTCTAAGTTGTTTTTGTCTTGAAAACTCTTATTACATATGTTGTACTGGTATTCCTTTTCACGATTGTCCATCTGTCCACCAACAGTGGGATTAGGATTGTTACAATTTTTTATTGGATCGGTAGCATGAACCATTTCAATTTCAATTTTGCTTTCAAACACACAATCGTTAAATACTGTTTCATCTTTTTCAGTTTTAATTATTGAATTGGTTTCTTTATTAACACTAACATTCCTGGAAATAAAATAATTTTGACAAATAAACTATATGAACAAATAATAATAAAATTATTTACCGAAAATTAGTGTTTTTATGTTTATTTTTGTCAATATTGTATCCAATATCAGTAAATTCTTCTTCATTGTTGTCTTCCATCTCAATTTTAATATTTTTATGTTGTAGATCTATATGTTTCTCCATTATATTTTGATACTGAAACATACATATAAATACAGTATAAGTAGGTTTTTGGAAACATTTAAGATAGAACTTCTTAATATAACATATATTTTAATTCTTAATGAAGAGTACAGATTTTGTGGTTCTATAAGTAATATAATAAAAGAAATAAAAATGTAAACTTACTAAACAGTAAGTATACGTATAATATATTATATTATATTATTGAAAAATCAGCACAAGTATGAATTGTCGAAGTTATAACTTGTATTGCCTTTTTAATAACTCAAGAGTTAAATACGTGATATTAAAATGTAAATATAAAAAAATCCATAAATATATTTTAAAACGCAAGACGTATAGATAACTATGCAGTATGCATAGGTACATATAAAATATAAAAAACAAAAATATTTATAAAATGCATAATTCATTTATGGTGGTTCTGGGGTAACGTTACCCTGGCACCCCATCTGGAAAATTGATTTTTCCTAGGGGAAGTATTTAGGTATAAATTCTTAAATTGTTGGTACAAATTGGTACACATTGGTACAAATTATAGTACAATTAATGGTTAAAAAAAATATTAAAAATTCGAACATTGGGGTGCCAGGGTTACCCACCTATAAAAGAGGCTTGAAAATTTAATATAAGACTCTGAATAATATATTGTTACAATGAAATTTGTAAAATATTAAAAATCCAGTCACAGTTTTTGTTATTATAAGCATTCAAATTGCAACAGTTGATACATTGATCGATATGAGGATTTAGATGATCTATAATACTTGGACGATCATGAAATTGTAAACTGCATTTTGCGCAATTATACATTTCATCATTTTTATATTCTTTTTCAATTCCAATTTCCATTTCGTGTTCAGTGGGATTGGGATTGTTACAATTTTCTATTGGATCGGTAGCATGAGCCATTTCAATTTCAGTTTCGCTGTCAAACACACAATCATTAAATACTGTTTCATCTTGTTCAGTTTCAATTATTGTATTGGTTTCGTTATTAACTACAACAGTCCTGGAAATAAAATAATTTTAACAAATAAACTATATGATCAAATAATAAAAAAAGTTAATTGTAAATAACGAAAAAAAATTAAATTATCATTGTGCATACCATAAATTACTATTACAATCACCAACATCATTGCACTCTTGAGTAAATTTAACATTTACACGTAAAAAAAATCCCATCTTGTTTAACTATAATATTGAAATGTTTTCTCTCACTAGAGTAAATGTAATCAAAGATCTTGGTATTTATTTTGAAAGTGATCTTTCTTTTAAAACGAACCATACAATGATAATTAATAAATCGTTTAAGATGTTAGGCTTTATTAATAGAAATACTAAAGATTTCAAAAATCCGTTATGCTTAAAAACCTTGTATACATCTTTAGTTAGATCCAATCTTGATTTCGGCTCCGTAATCTGGTCATGCAAATACTTGACATATATAAATGATTTAGACAATGTACAATATAAATTTTTAAAAAGGATTTCATACTTATCGAATATTCCATTATCTAGGGACTCTCTCCATCTAACTCAAGATTATATTGGCCTTGTTTCTCTTTCACTTAGACGGAAATTAACTGATATTATGTTTGTCTATGATCTTATTAATTACAATATCATGTGTCCCGAATTGTTGTCTGAAATCAGTTTTCGAATTCCACATCTAATTACACGTAGTTCAGATTTATTTTTAGTTCCTCATTATAAAACGAATAGTGGTACCAATTCTTTTTTCTCTCGAGCTTTAATTTTAGCTAATAAAATTTGTATACATTTAGATATATTTTTTCTCTCACGCAATTGTTTTAAATCCAAATCTATGTTATTATTAAAAAATATTGATTGATTAATATAAAAAAAAAAAAAAATGTTTATAATGTAATTATAATTTTATATTTTTATTACTTTTAATTCAGAATTAATTTTATATTATTTTTATCTGTATTTGTTAGGTGTTACTACACTTACTTAGTTTTTAGTTTTTATCTAATATGT